CATGGTATTTTCAATAGCCTCATATGCATGGGAAAGTTAGATAATGAATAAGGAAGACTGTAGAAGAATTGATGTATTTGAGTTAGGGCACTGGAGAAGAATATTAAAAGTACCATTGGCTGCCAGAGGAACAAACAAATCTGTATTGGAAGAAATACAGCCAGAATGCTCCTTAGAAGGCAGGATGATGAGACTTCAGCTCTCATACTTTGGACATGTTATCAGGAAGGACATCATGCTTAGTAAAGTGGAGGGTCAGTGAAAAAGATGAAGAACCCCAGAGAGATAGACTGGCACAATGTTAGCAGCAATAGGTTCAAGTGTAACAAAGACAGTCAGTGTGACGAAGGACAGGGCAGTGTTCTGTACTGTTGTGATTTGGGTCATTATGAGTCAGAACCAACTCAAAGTACCTAACAACAACAGCATAGGATTTTCAAGGAGCAGCTGGTGGGTTTGAACTGCTGACCTTCTGCTTAGCAGTCCAGTGCTTTAGCACCACACCAGGACTCGAATAATCTTTTAGTACCTTTTTATTTACATGTTTTAAAAAGCCATTTAATTCCTCTTGTCTTCTTTGTTTAATCTTCTTATGTGAACAGACTTTTTCTATAATTTTCTTCTGGAGAGGATCCGCCACATGGTCAACCCATCTTTTATATAATATCTCTTTTCTTCTTGCATTTAAGAAGTCATGATGTTGTAAATACTTATCTAGTTCCTAGTAAATAGTGATAAAAAAAGATAAGTTATTCCAAAATTTTTTGTTCTAAAATTTATGAAAATTTGAACTTTGTTTATATTCATAATCATAACTCACGAAGTTAGTTATTAATTCAATGATTTAGTTGACTTCTATGTGACAGACACACTATGCTGGAAACAAGAGCTATACAGATAAATGAGACAATATGCCTGCCCTCTCTGGGAGACAGAAAACAAAACATTATCTATAAAACATTTTAGGAGGAGGGATAATATAGCATGATAGATAGACATGTACAAGAGAGCTTCAAAAGTTCAAGGAAAAATTCTATTATCTTTTATTTCCATTTTTCCAAGAACTTTTTGAGCCTACTCATATACAGTAAATGAAGAAAGATATAGAGAAGAGAAAACTTACTATTTTCTAAGAGTCTTGAAAGATTCCCCAAGTGGGAGACATTTAGGATGGACCTCAAAGAATGAGGACTTATCCAGGCAGAGAAGAAGTGGTAGAGAATGAGGAAGAAGAGCATTCTATGAAGAAGAAAAAAACAAAGACAAGAGTAAAGAAGCATACATAAGTATAGCACAATCTTAACCAAATGGCAAGTAATCTACAAACAAGATGTGTGATTAGCTATAACCAATTCTTACCTTAATTATATAATTTTCTCTATACAATATTGATTGAATAGCTGCATCAATATCTTCTTTAGCTAATACCTAAAATAGAGAATTAAACTTTGAAAATCATATTTTGGAAAAAAAAATTAGTTCTGGGTTCATTATATTTTGTGACAGATTTATCTCTGAAAATGGTAAATCCAATTTTTCTACCTCAAGCCATATTATAAAATATTCTTTACATAGGTTATCACAGAGAGATTGCAGATTTGATTCTAGACCACCATAGTAAAGCTAATAACATAATAAAGTAAGTCACTAAGTCACACAGTTTTTTTGTTTTTTTGTTTTGGTTCCCCAGTGGAGTCTTGATGTGGCGCTGTAGGTTAATGCGCCAGACTGCAAAGCTGTTTGAAATGCAAGGTCGGCGGTTCAAGCTCACCAGCTACTCCTTGGAAACCCTATGTTGTTATGTGCCGCGGAGTCGGTTCTGACTCATAGCGACACCAGAGCAGAAAGCCTCATCTTTCTCCTGTGGAACAGCTGGTAGTTTCGAACTGCTGACCCTGAGGTTAGCAGCCTGTAACCACTATGCTACACAGGGTTGCTGTGGGTCAGAATTGACTTGACAATACTTAACAACAACAGTGCATATAAAAGTTAGGTTTACACTATACTATAGCCTATTGGAAGGAGCTCTGGTAGCGTAGTGGTTATGAATTGGGCTGCGAACTGAACTACCAGCTGTTCTGCGGGGGAAAGATGAGGCGTTCTGCTCGCGTAAAGATTTACAGTCTCAGGTCGCTATGAATCTGAACCGACTCAATGGCACTTAACAAAAAATAACAAAAGAGACAGAGAGTAGCAGAATGGATAAGAAAACAGCATCCTTCAATATATTGTCTATAAGAAACACACTTTACACAAAGACAAAAATAAACTAAAAAGTCAAAGGATGTGAAACAATATTTTCAAGCTAATGACAATCAAAAACAAGCAGTATTAGCAATATTAATCTCTGATAAAATAGACTTTACGATAAAAATGAGCATAAGAGACAAAGAAGGACAATATATAATGGTTAAAGGGTCAAAAGAACAAGAGGACATAACCATAATAAATATCTATGCTCCTAATGAAAGAGCGTCAAATATATAAATCAATCTAAGATGGCAAACAGGACGGACACTCTACAACAAGGATGTAAGAGTCAGCCTGCTAGCCTATCCATAAGAGAAGGATGAGGCTCTTTACTCCTGCAAAGATTTGAACACTATGGCCCTAAGTGAGCTATGGCCCTAGGTGAGCTACAGCCCCAAGTGAAAACAGGTGGGCTACCATTTGGGTGAGCTATGACCGCCCCCAGTGAGCTGTGGCCCTGGATAAGATACAAGTGGGGTGAACTATGATGGCCCTGGGTCAACTACAGCTCCAAGTGAATTACAGCTGGAAGAAGCCCCCAAAGAAGAATTAAGGACACATATTCAAAACTTCATGCCTCAGGACAGAGACTTGATCCCAGTGAAGGGCTTGGGATGGGAAGTGGGAAAGGTGTGTACCACTGTTACTATGAAACTGTAAATTATATAACTGTTCAAACAACAAATGTATTCATTAAATTACATACTTTGTTTTATTTCAATGATTACAATCCCTTCCATGCACCATCACTATCAGTATTTACCTCTATCCCTGTATTTTTTCCACTGGGTCTTTCTAGTATTGATTTCTAATTTTATAGCATTGTGATCTGAGATGCTTTGTAGTATTTTGATGTTCCTAAATTTATTGAGGTTTGCTTTGTGGCCTAACTAATATATGATATGTTCTGGAGAATGTTGAATGTTATATGTGCATGGGAAGAGAATGTATATTATATTCCTATTGGGTTGAATGCTCTGTATATGTCTATGAGGTCAAGTAGTTGTGTTGTTTAGTTCTTCTTTGTCTTTGTTGATTTTTTTTTCTAGTTGTTCAGTTCTTCATCCAAAGTAGTGTATTAAAATAGGGTAGCTATAAGTTAGAATCAAATTGACAACACTTAGCAACAATTGTAGAGTTGTATATTTCTTTCAATTCTTTTTTTTTTTTTTATAACTTTTTATTGTGAATTGAGTGAAGGCTTACAGAGCAGATCATCAGTTTTACACTTTGCTTCATTACATGTTTGCAGTCCCGTTCATGTAACAAAAGTTAACAGCATTTACCTCTATTCACTTAACTATTAAATTCCTCCCTGTGTCTCCTTCTACCTTCATCTTTTCTCTGCTAACCTCCCTCTTGTTGTATATTGCCTGCCCTGTCATCTATATTAATATGTGTCTGCTCTCTAGCCTTCAGTATCACTGGCTCTTGATCATATGCTACCTCTTGAAACAGTTGAACATCGACCATTTCCCTTTGGCACAGTGACTGTGTATTCTTTCTATCTTCTTTTGATGCTTTCTGCATCATTCAATGTTTGCCCAGAGAATCCTTCAATAACAAAGTCAAGGTTTGAATTTTTTCTTCAGTTCCTGCAGCTTGAGAAATGCTGAGTGTGTTCTTCCCTTTTCGTTTTCTAACTCCAGATCTTTGCACATTTTTTCTAATATTTGACTTTGTCTTCTCAAGCTGACCTTTGAAATTTTCTGTTCAGCCTTTGTGCCTCCTCATTTCTTCTATTTGCTATAGCATCTCTATGTTGGAGAGCAAGTTTCAGAGTCTCTTCTGACATCCATTTTGATCTTTTCCTTTTTTCTTGTCTTCTTTTTTTGCTTTCTTCCTGTATAATGTTCTTGCTATCATCCCACAACTCTTCTGGTCTTCTGTCTTTAGTGTCTAATCTATCAAATCTGTTCTTCAGATTATATCTAAATTCAGGTGGGATATATTCAAGGTCATATTTTGGCTCTTTTGGACTTGTTTTCATTTTCTTCAGCTTCAGTTTGAATTTGCATATGAGAAATTGATAGGTCTGTTCCACAATCTGCCCCTGGCCTTGTTTTCTCTGATGATATGGAGCTTTCCCACTGTTTCTTTTCATAGATGTAGTCAATTTGATTTCTGTGTATTCCATCTGGTAAGGTCCATGTGTATAATTGTCTCTTTGCTGTTTAAAAATGGTATTTGAAATGAATGAGTCTTTGGTTTTGCAGAATTCCATCATGCAATCTCCAGCATCATTTTTATCACCAAGGCCATAGTTTCCAACTACTGATCCTTCCTCTTTGTTTCCAATCTTTGCATTCCAATCACTAGTAATAATCAATATATCTTGATTGCATATTTGATCAATTTCAGATTGAAGAAGTTGGTAAAATTCTATTTCATCCTCACTGGTTTAAAGGTTGATGTATAAATTTGAATACTAGTGGTATTAACTGGTCTTCCCTGTAGGTACATGGATATTGTCTTATCACAGACTTCATGACATATCTTGATATGTTGTTTATGACAATTAATGCAACACCATTCCTCTTCAATTTGTCATTCCCAGTAGTAAACATTTGGTTGTTAGATTCAAAATGGCCAATACCAGTCCATTTCAACTCACTAATGCCTAAGATATTGATGCTTATGCTTCCACTTCTTTTTTAACAATTTCCAATTTTCCTAGATTCATACTTCATACATTCTATGTTTTGGTTATTAATGGATGTTTCAGCTTTTTCTCTTCATTGTGAGTTGTGCCCCATCAGCAAATGAAGGTCTTGAGGGCTCTACTCCATTCGTGTCATCACAGTCAACCCTATTTTGAGGAGTTAGCTCTTTCTCAATCACATTTTGAGTGCCTTCCAACCTGAGGGCCTCATTATCCAACACTATATCTGACAGTGTTTCTCTGCTATTCATAAGATTTTCAGTGACTAAACATTCAGAAGTAGTTTGTCTCTCCTTCTTCCTAGTCTATCTTCACCTGGAAGCTCACCTGAAACCTGTCCAATATGGGTGACCCTGCTGGTATTTAAAATACCAGTGGCATAGATTTCAGAATCACAGCATCTTACAAGCTACCACAGTACAACAAACTGACAAATGTTTTCAGTAGTTACCAAAAAAAGCATTTGAGACAATTCAAAACCTACTCCTAATAACTTTTAGCCAAGTAAAAATTTAAGGACCTTTTTCAACCTGATGAACAGTATCTAAAACACCATACAGTTATCATCACTGTTGTTTATTGTTAGTTGCCATTGAGTTGGCTCCAACTCATAGTGACTTTATGTAGAACAGAATAAAAGCTGCAGTCCTGTGTCATCTTCAAGATCATTGGTATGTTTCAGTCCACTGTTGTGGCCATTTTGTCAATCCATTTCACTGATGGCATCCCACTTTACCAAACATAATGATGTTCTCTAGCACCTGCACTGTCCTGATGACATGTTCAAAGTAAGCGAATCATAGTCTCTCCATCCTCACTTTTAAGGAACATTCTGGTCATATTTCTTCTAAAGTTAATTTGTCCATTCTTTGGTAGCTCATGAATATCACATAATGAATGTACCCATTATTCTTTCTTTTTCATTGCCTAGTTTTAAGGTGCTCTGGTAGTGTAGTGGTTACGAATAGGGCTGCGAACCTTAAGGTCAACAGTTTGAAACTACCAGCTGTTCCGCAGGAAAAAGATGAGGGTTTCTGCTCCCGTAAAGATTTACAGCCTTAAAACTCTATACAGGATCATTATGAGTTGGAATTGACTCCACAGCACATGACGATGACAACAAGTTTTTATGTATATATGAAACAACTGAAAAGATTATGGCTTGGGTCAGGCACACCTTAGTGATCAAAGTAACATGTTTGCTTTTTAAAACTTTAAAGAAGTCCTTTGCAGCAGATTTACCAATATATTGTTTGATTTCTTGACTACTGCTTCCCTTGGCATTGATTGTTGGTCCAAGAAGGAAATTGTTGATGTCAATTTTTTCTCTATCATTACATTGTTTATAGTCCAATTGTGAGAATTTTTGTTATACTTAATGGTAAAACTGCCTTCCCCCTAAGGCCAGAAGCAAGTCAAGGATGTCTGTTTTTACGTCTATTCAACATTACATTAGAGGTTCTAGTTAATGCATATACATATATGTTGTTGTTATTGTTGTGAAGCACCGTCAAGTCAGTTCAGACTCATAGTGACCCAGAATAGGGCTGATGAGTTTGAACTGCCAAACTTTTGGTTCAAACAGACCTTGTGATGCAGTGCTTTATTTATCCCCCAGAGCTACACCAGAATTCCACATACACATATAGATTAATGGAATCAATACAACTTTCCAGAAATACAGTCATATGTATCTGGTCAGTTAATTTTCAACAAAGTACAAAGGCAATTCAATGAGAAAAAAAATTTTTTGAAACATGGTGCTAGGTCTATAGACTCCTGTCGACCTTGAGATAAGAGAGAAAAGAGGAAGGGCTGGTTGGTCTGAAGTGTATTGAAACATGGAAATTCCTGAGCCCATAGACAAGGACCTAGCCACAGAAGGATAGAGCTGAGAGAGAAGTGAACAGCTGATATGAAGTGAGAGGACATGCACAAGAAGATAAAGAAATGTGATAAAGGAAGCAAGTGTAAATTGCTAAAATTTGATGAACTTGACCTATAATTATGGGTGCAGTAACTCAAAATACCAACTGAGCCATGCAATGCCGGCTGGGGGTGCGGTAAAGGCATGAAGTGACTGGCTTACAAGTTTTCAAGAGGGAGTTTAGTTTAAGAGTGTGCGGGGGAATATACAGCCCCCACTGAATAGTTTTCATCTTGTCTGGATGGGTCTGGTGAAAAGAAATAGGTTTAAGATTCTTATAATTCAATAGTGAGTAATTGTTATCATGACTAATTGCAACTATCGCAACTGTAAAGGTAGACATTTTGTAACAAAAAAGGGGAAGTAGTTAATCTTACAGTCCAGGAACAGAGGACCCTAGGACCATCAAGGGAAAAAAGCCCAAGAGGAATGTGAGACCCTACCCAGAGAAGCAACAATACCAGAGATGGAGGCAGAGATGAGGACATTAAGAGAGAGAGCAGCTAAGGATTCCAGACTCATGGAAAGAGAAAGGCTGTGTGCTGGCAGCCAGGAGTCAGGCTTGCAGAATGTGCCCTTCAGTTGTTTAAATGGTTATATATTCCTGAGTGTTTTTGTGTACAACACCCACCCCAAAAAAAAAAACACAAAAAACTAACAGAGGGAATAGAAGCAAATACTGCTGAATGATGCTACACGGAGGGGATTGTAATCATTGCAATGAAACGATGAGTGTAAAATGATGTTCTCCCAAGTAAACTATTACTCAATTCACAATAAAAACGTAAAAAAAAAAAAAAAAAACTATGATATTGTACCTCCATAAAAGAAAGTGACTTTGGTTCCAACCATTCTTTTGAGTTCTTGAGCTTAGGAAGTGTGCCAGGTATCAGCTCCGCATCATTTTTGAATCTTCTCATTGTGACCACAAATTAGAGTCCCTATAAAAACTAAAAGTTAGCTTATTTAGTAATATAAACTCAGAATAATCTTATTTTCTGTTTCATTAAAACTAGATACTGTGACCAAGGACTCCTGGTGTGGTGCTATAGGATAAACACTGGACTGCTAACAAAATGTCGGTGGTTGAAACCCAACAGCCCTTCCTCGGAAATCCTATACAGGGTCGCTGAGTCGGAACCGACTTAACAACACTATAACAGCTGAACAGACATGTAAGAGATTATGAACAATAACCAGTGGTCACACTTTCCCTAACAGGAGGCCTTCAGAGCCAGCCTTCTTTAAACGGAGGAGGAGGTTTTCTTTGGATTGAGTATTCCCTCCCACTTTCCCAATCTCTGAAAAGGCTTCCCAAATCCTTCTATGAGGTATCCCATTCTAATCTGAGCGGCAATTTCAGCCTGGCTTCTGGGGGCCATACTTGCAGAAATTTTCTAACTTTGTTATTAAATGCCGTGTTGTTACGAGTGTGTTCGGACGCATAGCGTTCCTAATAAGGTTTCTGAGGAGCGGCTGGTGAGTTTGAACTGCTACCTTGTGATTCAAATCGACCTTTTGGTCTAGTGCTTATCCTACATCTGGACTTCTAACTTTGGTAACCGTTCATGGGAAGAGTTACAACTGTCCAGTTACTAAAACACAGACTGGGCTGTTTAGGGATGAGAGGAAGTAGCTTTCAAGGACTACAAGCCTTCAAGTTAAGCGCAGCTCAAAGCCCTCCCTCACAAGTAGACTACAGCAGCCACTCCTATCCCGTCCCCTTCAGCAAGATGCGCGCTGCCGATAGCCTCGCGCGTGGAAGTGGCCGTCCCCGGGCAAGCCAGGCACCTCCGCTTCTATCCCGGGGCTAGCAGGGCCTTCGGTGTTACACTGAACTGGAGCCCGGCCGCAGAACACAATGACCCTATTTCCCAACGGACTGCGGTGAAAAAATGGGCCGGCCGGGCCTGCAGCCCAGCCAGCTAGAGCCCCGCCTCTTCAGAATGTGAGAACCTTCCATCCACTGTTTCCAGGACGCAGCTACCGCGCGGCCGCCGCGAGCGACAAAGAGCCCCCAAGGCACCGAAGAGGGCAGTGAACTCGCGGTCAGGCGAATTTCGCCCAGTGCAACTCTGTGCCCCGCACTTTCGCGGTCCAGCCTGACAAAGAAGAAATTTAGAAGGCCGCTGGTACCAGGTCTTGCTGGCAGGCGAGTAGTAGTTAATCTGAGTACGGGACTGTGGTCCCTGTTTCCCGTGACTGGCAGCTGCCACAGCCAATAGCAGTACCCGTCGCCTTCCTGTCCAGCTTCCCGTGTTCGTTGAGGGGTGGGTCTTTGCCACACTGTCCCGCTAGAGGGCGCTACTCTCCTGTTTCGAGAAGATGGTCTCGTCCTCTCCTGTGTGATCCGCTTCACTTCCTTAAGTCTCCATTTTCTTGAGCGCGGGATTCGGAACAGCAAAACTGGAAGTTAACCACCCCCACTTCCACTACAGGGAACCCCTTTGGGAAAATATCAGGAGAGGTGTAGCAAGGAAAGAAGTACCTCACTTTCAATATCTCTTTGAAGGGCGAGTGTTTGTGGAGGTTATCCTAGTGAGGACGGCCCAAGAAGGCTTGGGGACTTTTCAGAAAATGTTAGGGTCATGTAAGTGCTGTAAAGATGTTTTTAGCCGTTGGGTATTGACCAGTGTCCATATTTAGCGCTGCTGTTTGTCAGTGGGGAGAAAAAGTCAGTGTATTTCAGTCTTGTTTATTTAGTTCAAAGGTTCTCTATCCTGGCTGCTCACTTTATGGTGGCATGGAGGGTGGAAGGTCATATTTTTGATGCTTGAGACCCACCCAAGACCAATTGAAAATGGATCCGTGAAGGTGGGACCTCTGTAGTTTTGTGGCAGGAATGAGTGGGGGGTCGTTAATCCCCACTTGCTAAAATATAAAATATTGCCATCGCTAGAAAATTATGAAGTTATAATTTCCAAACCCACTCTCTGAACTGATTTTCTCATTTTATTTTTATCTTTAAATACTGGTGGATACTAGATGGGCCAACTTTTTTTTTACCCTTCATCTTTCCAAAGTACACAGTGCAGTAACCATTTTTCACTTCCATGTTTCAGAGCTGAGGGAGCATGAGTTATATGCAGACCTTACTGTTAGACACCCTTCTGGGAACCAAGCATGTGGACAGTGCAGCACTCATCAAACTCCAAGAGCAGCGTCTGTGTGTAGCAACACCAGGATTTAGTGTAAGAAAGAGCAAGTATTTAAAGCAAACTTTTCCTGTAAAGAGCCAGCTAGTGAATATTTTAAACTTATAGACCGTACGGTCTCTAAGACAACTACTCTGTAGATGTGGTGCACAGCACAGAAACGAACTGATATGACATTACTGCAGTTTGGACTTCACATAATTGTCACACGTCAAAAAGATATTCTTTTAATTTTTTTTAACCGCTTAAAAATGAAAACACTACCTTTAGCTTGCAGGATATACAAAAATAGGCTTGGGTTGAATTTGGCCTGAGGGCTGTAATTTATTGACCTTAGTCTCTTTTTTTGTTGTTGTTTTTAAATCTTTTTGTTGTGAATTGAGGGAAGGTTCATTCACAAAGAAGACCATCAGTTTTATACTCAACAAATCATACACTTTATTTCATCTCAATCTCTTCCACATAACAATAGTTATTCTTTTTCTTTCCTATGGTTATTTCCATTCCACTCTCATTTCCATCCCTTCTCAGCTTTACCCTTAGGTAAATGCCCTTTTGATCTTGAATGGTTGCCTGGTCTAACTCTTTAATCTCTGCAGGTCATGCCCAATGATGTCCAAACACTTGTGAATGGATTTGCTAAGAACCCTTTACAAACCCGAAGAGAAGGATTATATTTCAAGGAAAAGGATTACAAATGTGTCCGGTCAGATGAATATTCTCTTTATGCTAAGAATGTGAGTGGACAGGATTTGAGAACAGCTGTATTAAAAATCTTAAGAATTTGAATCTCATTTTCTTTGCCCTCTTGATCCTATATGTAACATAGACTGGTGGTAGTGTTGGTTATGTGCCGTGGAGTTGGTTTCTGACTCATTGTGACCCTGTACAGGGTTTCCGAGGCTGTAAATGTTTACGGGAGCAGAAAGCCTCATCTTTCTCCCACGGAACAGCTGGTAGTTTCAAACTGCTGACCTTGCAGTTCGCAGCCCGATTCGTAACCACTATGCTACCAGAGCTCCTTGTAACATAGACTAGGGACATTTATTATGGTCTCCAAACAATGTCTGAGACAGCAGTCTAATTCCAGAATGGCATATATGAAAAGGAGTGCTATAAGAGAACCTGGTTTAGGGCATCATTCATTCTAGAATCAGTCAATTAAACCTTACCTAAATTCTCTTTCTCCACTCCAGTCCATCCTTCATACCCTACATCCTTGTTGTTGTTGTTGTTAAGTGCCATCGAGTCGGGTCCGACCCATAGCGACCCTGTACAGGGTTTCCGAGGGTGTAAATCTTTACGGGAGTAGAAAGCCTCATCTTTCTCCCGCGGAGCGACTGGTAGTTTCGAACCGCTGACCTTAAGGTTCGCAGCCCGATTCGTAACCACTACGCTACCAGAGCTCCTTACATCCTTAGCCTTTAAAAAAATACATCCCTCCCCTGCTTAAAATCATTCTTGGTTCCCTGTTGCCTCAAAGGAATTGTTGTTGTTATGTTAAGTGCCATTGAGTTGGTTCCATCTCATAGTGACCCTATACATAGGATCTCCAAGGAGTGGTTCAAACCAACTCTACAGTTGAGTGTTTATCCTACAGTACCACACCAGGACTCCTCAAAACAATTACAGAGATGAGTTCACATTTATAGGATACCCTATATGGATTAAGGTACAAACTAAATAGCCTCATTTTACAGATTAGGGAACTGAGACTTAACAAAGTCTAATAACAAGGAGTCCTAGTGTGACACTGTGGGTTAATGCGGCAGACTGCAAAGCCGTTTGTACTGCAGGATCGGTGGTTATGTGGCTGTTATGTGCCACCAAGTCAGTTCCAACTCATAGCAACTCTGTATAGGAGCACTGGTGGCTTCAAACTGCAGACCTTGTGGTTCAGAGTCCAGTGCGTATCCTACAGTACTACACCAGGAGTCCATAATTAGTTGATAGCTCTTCCAAAATCCAAATGCTGTGATTACAACAGTCTGAAACTTTTCGAACAAAGACAATTCGTGGAATAGAATATAGAGTCCAAAAACCAATATACAAATATATGGAGGTCAAGAAATGGTGAAAACTGAAACATAAATGCTGGTCCTATGCTGAGAACCAAGAGAAGAGCTTTCCATTTTATTCTTTGTACAGGAAAACACTGGTGTGGTAATTGTGAAAACCCATCTGTATCTCCTCGTGGCAACTTACACTGAGGGCATGTATCCTAGTGTCTGTGTGGAAGCCACAGAAAAACTGGGTAAGTTTTCTCCTGTATTCATTTCCTAGGGTTGCTGTAGCAAAATGCCATCAACTGGCATTTATAAGAGCCATTTTCCCCCAAACTTGGAGTCCAAAATTAGAGTGTTGAATAAGCAATTAATACATGTTTGATGAACAAATTAATTACCTCTGTCTAGCATACTCAGAAAAAGCTTCAGAGAGCTGAATCTTAAAGAATTAATTGAGAAATTAAGTGCCATGACAGAAACAAAACATATTTGTACAAATGTGTATATTTACAGACATTCCTAGTTTTCATAAAGAGTTGCCTGGAGGGGACTTTCATAAACTATGTTACATAGCTGGTAATGAGATATTCAGAAAACAAACAGGGCTGAGCTGGAAAAGACACAGTTTAGAAAACACCTAACAGAATGGTAAAATCCAACCCAGAAAGGATAGGGTGTTACAACTGCCAACAACTCTGTGAGCAGCTATCAGGATGTGATGGAGGTTCCAGGCTGTGATGAAGTGACTGGATGCCCTTG